TTCGATTACTGATAACTTTTGACCTTGGCAGACAATCTCGCCAATACAGTAATGCCGAACGTATATTCGAGTACACACAAACATATACATATATGCTATTTTTTTGTATATTAGGTAAGCATATATAGATTATTATGTAATAAGTTAGTTTGTTTAATCTATTTTTGAGCGACGCTGCATTATAGATAGAGTGAAAATCTCCTGCCTTAAATGCGCCAATTGAGATTTTTTTGTCTACATAACATACATACATACATAAGTATGTATATCATCAAAATATCAATTGCAAAGCAATGTTTCAATCATACGGTGAGGGTCTTAAAACACCTAACCCCATATCCTCAACATATGCATGTACTAACGGTGCTGAAAAGCCTTGTCGAGGCTTTATTCGATATAATATATAGATATAGCAATGCTTTTGTKGTTAGGGTATTTCATCTAAACCCAATAAGGAATTTGAGTGAAATATTTGTCCTGTGGATATGGCTATTTGACTCTAGATGTAGAGAAAAAGCAATAAAATATAAAATATTAGTTAAGAATTTTTTCTTATCAGCAAACAATCATTTATAAAAACATAAAATTCCCGTTTGGTCATTATAAATAAAAACTGCAAAGGTGGCTTCACTTCSAAACCAATAACTCAAAAACGATTAGATGACATATCATGATTTCTTAACTRTTTGACAGTATTTTAACACTAGAATTGACACACAATTCCCACGACAGCCGGTTATACGTACCGGAATTGACTCGGATTTCATCCGACCATGGGCTGTCCTTTCGGCGATCTAACCCCGTTTAGATCGGTGTTATATAAAACAAAAAAAAAAAAAACCTGAATAGACATTTAGTACTTGCTGTTGAATCTCTCGGTCAACCCAAAGACTTTTAAGGCCATATCCATACATACATACATAGTTTTGATACACATATAATCCTTGGACTATCTTATAGTTGAGCTTAGATTTTTCGATTTTTATAAAACTCTAAACTCATTAAACAGGTTTAGAAATCATGCACGAATATCATCTACAATACTGTAAGATCTACCAAAGGTTTTTGCCGTCGTGCCCTCTGCCGATCCATCTTCTATTAAGATGGATTAGCTCTTTAGACCTTAGCTTGTATAAAACTGTAGAATTTTTGAGTCAACACAATTAATATTATTTCGTAGTTACCTTTTTGAATTTATAGTTTTTGACATATTGTTACTTAAGAATAAATAAGAAAAATTCTTAGCATCATCAATCATAGACTACTAGAGTTTAAGAAAAGCTATTCTACCTATATATTATTAATAAACCTTTCTAGTTTTATCTCGTGGAAACGGTTATTTCTTTGTTTACCAACTATTTTATACTCTTCCAATATGTTGCTAACGAGTATAATAGTTCACATAATGGTTATTTGTTTCATCTAAAAATAATCAAGTTAGATAATGGTTAATTTAGATACATAAATACATATATATGATGARAAGAGTTGAAATCCAATTGACTGATAACGATAACTTGAGTAAAAAGCAAGGTACCTTAATGATGATACACGTGTTTCCTGGATGAGGGTAATTAGATCACTACCACCTCCACAAGACGCCGTTAAKCGAAAGCCAATATAGTGTCAGAACTATGCTTCGAAGTAAAGGAAATGCTGTTATATAGTACAACGAATTGCATTCAGAAGGGGCATCTATGGTTTATAAAGTGGCCGTCGYCCCACTCTCTCTAATAAGTTTAATGTATGTATATATCTTCTAAACTATTCAAGCCATAATATGCAATTACGTTGGAAGCTTAACTTTTTGAGATCTACCAACCCTGTGAAAATTGATGAAATTGGATTATAACCCCGAACTCTCCCCATACAAATGTTATGTTAAAAACTACTAAAAGTGCAATAAATTGATAACTGAATGCCCCAAAGGCATTAAATTTAGATAGAATTTTGCACAAAGAGTGAGTAAAAACTTGACCTACATAGATCCCATATAACTAACAAATTTAAGCACCTAAAGCTGCTGTCGCGGCTTTGAACCTGATAATTTGCCAGAGTATGAAATGTTCGGTTACATACGAACTTAGCCATCCTTACTTGTTTATAATTATATAAGRATATTGAATTGTGAAGCAGTTATATTTATTACAACAATATTTCTTCTTTTTCAGAAGAGCTCGAGAACAGGTAAAATTACACTCATATGATATTTTCATATTCATGCAAATGTTTTAGTTTCTATATCTACATAGTATTTGAACTTTTTTCGCCTAAAAATAAATTTAATAACATGTATTTACTTGAATCTCTTTATTCCTCTTCAAGGCGTGATTTTCACAAATTGTAAGTACCTGAACAATAAGGGAATAATTTAGTCACGATAATCTATTTTCCTAATTGGCTTGGTACAAAATTTTCTAAAACAAAATATCGGTTTCACTAAATTATAATACTAATGTTGAATAAAATCTAAACAAACATGTTTATTAAAATACTTGCCTTATCGCCTTTAGACACTACAGTCAACACCAACAAACTGTTCAAGAGGCTAAACAAAAGTTAGGTGACGCAGCTAGCGGTTTCGATGGGTAAGTTTATACTTAATAAACTTGATACCTAAAACCTTAAATTTGCTTTTACTACTACTTTCGAAAATTGTTTTTTAGTGAGTAAATCGCTTTACAATATTTTATTATTAGTCTACTGAAGTTTACAATTATAATGAGACTTCTAAAGTTTAAAAATATATTAAATTTTTAATACTTATATATACATTAATATTTTATCGTAGTCAACATCATGCATCTGTCTCTTATACACATCTAGATGTGTATAAGAGACAGCTACTGAAGTTTACAATTATAATGAGACTTCTAAAGTTTAAAAATATATTAAATTTTTAATACTTATATATACATTAATATTTTATCGTAGTCAACATCATGCATCATTTGAAGAGGTCAGCTCTTATGGTGGTGTGGGCACTGTCGGACTTTCTGGTGGTAACAGCGGCTATGGCAGCAGTGGTTATGGCAGCAGCAGCTACGGTAGCGGTGGCTATTCTGGTCTTCAAAGCTCAGCTGGTCTTTCAGCTCTTTCGGCTGCTGAATTGGCAAGTGCTTCATCTTTCGGTGCATCCAGTAACAGTGCTGCCTCGTTCGGTGCAAGTCAATCAGCGAGCTTTGGTAGCTCTTCATCATTCGGCGCTAACTCAAACTTTGCCAGCGGAGCCAGCAACGGAGCTTCTGTTGTGATACCGGTCTCAGGTGGTGCATCAACCAGTTTTTCAGAACAAACCGAAAATGTTCATCAGCAAGTCATACCAGAAGTCGTCGCTTCGGGAAGTGGCTCCAGTGGTCATGAAAGTTATATCCACCATGAAGAACGCCGAACTGAAAATCAACCTGTCGTTACTTATACCGCACCTGTTGGTGGCTCTGAAAACTATGTTCACCACGAGGAACGTCGTGTACAGTCACAAACTGCAACACCAATAGTTACATATGCACCATCGGGTGRCCACGAAAGCTATGTACACCATGAGGAACGTCGTACACAAAGCCAACCTGTTATTCAGTACACTGCACCAAGTGGCGGCTCTGAAAACTACTATCGCCATGAAGAACGTCGCGTTGCTGCCCAGCCTGTTATTCAATACACTGTGCCCAGCGGTGGTGCTGAAAACTATGTTCACCACGAAGAAAGACGCGTGCAAAGCCAAGCTGTGCCTGTAATTCAATACACCGCACCATCTGGTGGCTCCGAAAAATACGTAACCATTAAAGAAGAACGCATTCAACAAGCTGCACCCGTTCAAATTATTGCTCCTTCAGGTCATGAGTCGTATGTTAAGTACCGTAAAGTAACCACTTCAGCTCAACCACAAGTTATTGTACCATCAGTTGGTGGCTCCCACTCATCTTACGTTCAACACTCTGCTGCTTCAAATACAGCTTCGCAATTAAGCAATCTGTTAAGTGGTGCATTGACTACTGGTCAAACAGCTTTCGGTAGCCTTGGTATGGTTGAAAAATTATATTATTTATCCTAAAAACTGAAGCTTTAATCAACCCATATCATATTTTAGGTTCAAGTGCTCTTACAGCTGCCAATTCTGGTTATGGGTCACAAAGTCATTTTGGCGCCCAAAGCGGTTTTGGTGCACAAAGTGGATACAGCGCTCATCATGGATTTGGTGCTCAAAGCCAATTTGGAGCGCAACATGGGGCAAGTAGTGGAGTCGCTGCGGCCAGCAATGCTGCGCTTACACAGGGTGCTGGTTTCGGCAGTGGCTTTGGCGCACAATCYAAATTTGGTGCTGAATCTAGCTTTAACTCTAAATTTGGATCAAGTTTCGGTGCAGATTCTTCATTCGGAGCAAGTTCAGGTTTGTCTGCTGGTGCAGGYTCTTCAGGATTGCATCATTATATTGCCGAATCTGAGCGTTTGGCTAAAGCGCAAGCCCAAGATATAGGCTACGGTGGTGTACGCTCTGGCGGTAGTCAATTGGCTGACTTGTCAACAGGTTATGGCAGTAATGCCGGTCTTTCAGGCGATTTTGGTGGTTCTGCTGGTGGTTTTAAAACTAAATCTTGGGAAAAGGCTTCGAAATGGTCTTCGCAATCAGAGGTAAGAATTTTCTTATTTCTGACATGAGCGTTCAATCATACTTTATTTATCTTTTTGGTYCTAACAGTTTGGCCCCGACGGACAAGTAAAAAATTTTAAGGAACTCTCGACTGGTGAAAGCGAAAACTACGACATCAACGGCAAGCGCGTAGGCTACAAGGCAGCCACGACAACACTGGATGATAACGGCAAAGTCAGCAGCTATAGTCTTCATACATAAGCATCATTTCTGTTGTACAGTTTAAATACTTTTATGTGTTCTTTTACGCTAAGCTGCGTTCTTTTAATTCAATGTAAGCATATAAAATGCACTTTCGAATATAAATGAAAATCTGGAAGRTAAAATTATATATATACTTATTCATTATACTTTTCGAAAGTTATAGTATACAATTAATTGTTTGAAAAGGGTTTCGCCAATTTCGCATCTACAACGTTAAGGACTGTATTTGTAGGTTGTGGAGCTTCTTTCATTACATGCGTATTCTCTCGACGCCTTCGATTATCCACAGCAGAGGTCATGCAGTAGCAGGGTTTCCAACTAGGCGTCCTATGACTAGCCACTGTGTTAGGTCTATATTGCTCGCTGTAACTACGTTCAGTCGTCCAAATGCTGGAAGAGGGCACATAACTATTCCAGCCATCTCGTCGCCTGTATCCCGTACCACTACCGCCTCCACGACCATCGCCAGTGGCTACGTAAACGGGCACATTATTTGGGTAGTATTGTGGGTAGTAGTAAGCTGGGCCTGTCGCATGACTTCCACCTTCGTAGCTACGTCGCTCCGAAGAGAAATTAGGATTCCATTGGTTTTTATCTATTATCGTACGGCTTTCGCGTCTTTTGCGTTGGACGACTCCGTCCTTTAAAAATGGGCACACTAGCATCCTCTGAAGAAATCATTTTATTAATGTTAAACACAAATTGTATTGAAAATCACCTTTATCGCCATCTTGCGTTGCACTTGTCGCATTGCTGTCACTKTCTCCATCGGTCGATATTTCAAATGTTATATCCGTATGTATGCCGACACGCTTCTTGTGCTTTCCCACTTCAGTTATTTCCACGCTCTCTGTGTTCTCTATTGACATTTTTTAGCATTAAACGGTGTTTCTAAATTGTTAAGGTATAATAAAAAATAGTTTACCTTTCGACTTTCGTGTGGCACCTGTATCGACAGTCACTCGCACACCATGAATTTTTGGACCAGATTTACCATTTCCACTGCTGCCGCCATTGTTGGCATTTGTGGCTACATCAATGCCCCCTCCACCCWGTTCTTTCCCACTTCTATTTTGATTGTCATCCACTCTGCCGCCTTGTCCCGTGCCAGGYACTACTGGCACATCTGAGCTGTTTTTATTTTCCGCTTCGTCAAAATCCAATTTCGGAGAAACCTTACTCGCTTGTGCTAAGAACAAAGTGAAAACAGTGAAGTKACACTCATTCAGAACAGTTGATTCAAAATACTCGCAAATCATGAAAAAAATGCTTGATTGTAATAAAATATGTAAAGATTGCCTCAGATCGATTGTAACCGAACATTTTATACTCTTTCAAYTTGACAGCTGTTGGCAATATTGAAACATTTAGTGAAAGAGTTTAACTTCATTATTCGATGAAATCGTGAATGCWTTATAATCAATACATTACAATATGATAATATTAACTTATTTCGAAGATCATAGCTTCCTTTGTTTTCTTCCTGTTAACGACTGCATTTTRTATGCAAAGTTCTTGTTTTATAATATACTAGAAAGTGAAGGAATATGAGGAGTAGGCGTGGTTGTAGCCGGTTATACACTGCGACATACATAGAAAAATCATAAGATCGATCAAAATAATCGGTACCTAGGAGCTTGAACAYCTTTTATTGGACTTAAACAATTTTTGGTCATAAGGTGGCACACACTAAARGCATTATTCGTGCAAAGTTTTATCCCGTTATATTAATTGCTTCTTGATTTGTGTACTGCAAAGTGAAAGAATAGAGCGGAGTTTACACAACGTGACGTAAGAATRCCATGTACTAAATTTTGTCGACAGTGGTTTGGTTGGGTCTTGAGATATGAATATCACCAAAAAATAGGCGGCCCATCGTCTTTTTCACACTAATTCCCATAAAGTACCCTCAKAACATCTCGGTGGTAAAATTTTATGTCTCTGTCGTGTTTAGTCATCGATTTATCGCTTTTAGTAGTCTTTARCAATACCGTTATATGGAGAGTGAGCGGGCTTATCTTCCAATTTGATCCATACTGCCGGTAGAAGTTCTTATAAGATTTGTATTCAGCAAATTTGATTGTTGTAGCTTAAATGGTTTAGGAGATATTTAATGTGCATATCTCCTAAACCTCGGTTAATGGCGATGTATGGGCGAGGCAGTATTCCGATGACTTCCATTAAACAATTTTTTTTTTTTTTTTGCATTAAAGAACTTACATTTGTACTAAGTTTCATTGAGATATATCAATTTTTACTCAAGTTACAGCTTGCACGGACGGACGGATTTCAGTAAGACAGTAACAGGATTTCAACTTTTCTCGTCATCGYGATCATTTATATATATATAACCCTATTTAGTTTTAGATGATACATACAATGTTAAGTGAACAGAACTAAAATACTTTGTCGGAACTGGTTGGAAAAGTATACAAATTAGCGACATATCTGCGGTATTGAGAAAAAGGAGAGCATAGTATTTGATAGTGCGTAACAGATCACAAATATTCTCGAAGCATTGCACAGAACAATGCAGGATTTAAATCGCAGCAACAAAATAACTATTGTACGGTAATTTCCGACAGATTAGCAAAGTGATATCAGAGATATCTCAATATTGATCCGATAGACGAAAAACTTGTTTATTCGAATTTAGAGTAAATATCTTCTTTTATAACAGACCTTCCTATTGTGTTTCACC